CTTAATGCGCCCGCCGCTTATTAAGCCCAATTTGGTCTGGGCGCGAGGTGGGTTTAATAGCCGGCGACTGCTGTATAGCGAATTTTGTGCGCCTTCCAATAAGGTTTCACCCGCCGCGTCAGCATACTCCTGCAAACTCAAACTGGCTTGCTACCGGAGAAGTAGGTAAAGACATCCACCTTTAAATACCGGAACTGCAGGAAACTGAGATTTCAACTAGCCGCCAAAGGAAAACGCTAGTCGGAGAGACACGGTTTGGTGAGATGTTTGACGACTGGAGAACTATGGTCCGGGCAACTGGGTTTAACTCGCCAGGGGCTAATGGCATCGATAGACCTTATTTCCGGCCAAACAACGAAAACATCTTTAAAAGATGACCTAACTCGTGAAATGTCGAGAGCGAAGTTTGAGTGGGATTGTTATTTTTGCTTGTTCACGCAGAAAGCTGTTTGCTAAAGAGGATTTCATTTCAAGCATTTTTACGAAAGGAAAACAGATCAGATTTGAGCGAAGCCTAACGTTCCTGCATATGCAAGTAATTTTCTGTGCTACTGAGATGTGCAGGTCAAAACCCCTTGTTTGTACGCGTTATCCTATAAATGAACATTAATATGAACAGGAAAAGTTCGGAAGCCCTTCTGGAACAGAACAGTGGATGTTACGTCCACGGAATTTAGATGAGAACAGGTATGAGAAGTCACATAGCTTTTTTAGCAGAAAATAGCAGATTCCGTTAAAAGAACGGTTTTGCTCATTTGTGGCATTTTAGGCCATGCAACTCTCTAATAGCTTTGTTTGATTAGTTTTTTTAACACACCGAGAGTTAGAAAGCTCAAGTGAGTACCCGCGACATACTGTCACTTTTCCAAGTCGCCGTAAGATAACGATGTTCGAACAGTTTCTATCTGCAGTGGACTTCAAGTGGATACGGAAATTAGCAGTGGAAAGATTGCCAATAGAAATGAATATGCGAGTTCCGGGAAGCAGTTCAGAAGAAGATTCGATCACTGGAACAAGGGTTTTATTTCCCTGACGTTTCGGATTCTGTCGAGAATCCGAAACGTCAGGGAAATAAAACCCTTGTTCCAGTGATCACATCTTCTGAGTGGAAAGATTGCTGCACGATTCGTCACCAATTATTTTTTAAATATTAGTAAGGCCACCGTGTCGCGCATTATTTAAGAGATAACGATGCCCAGAAACAAGCAGGACGGAACAAAACGGTCCACGAGTAAGCAAAACGACTTTACTGTTGTAAGACTGTGGAATAGAGGGTGGGCAGATTTCGCGTAGTAAGGATTTTCTTGCGAAAGTCGTGAGTTTCACGAGTTTGTAAATCTACCGTAACAAGACCTTGAGGACGACACCAACTGAAGCGAGACTCTAAACCAAACCAGTCCATCAGAGCTACTGCCGTAGATCGCGCAAAGTAGAGAACTATACGATACAGAGAGCAAGATCCAAACACGACACGTGACAGTTTAGAGAACCATGTTCCGGTTACCAAGACAGAGGGCTTACCGATCTCACGGGCGGAGAAGCCTGCGGACTGTCAACTTGGGGAGGGCCTGGGAGCGAGTGGTTCTCAACATGTGTTGAGAGCACTTGAAGTGGTGGGGAAAAGGAAGTAAAAAATGACTTACTAGAAATCCCCTTAATAGATTTCACTGAAACGCGAGCAAACAATTGCATAAAAAAGGAATGTTGACCTGATGTGATGTTAAGCCATCGAAAACCACCCATTTCCAACAACAGCGCCTAAAAACAGACCCACAAACTTTGGCCTGGGCTTTCAATGCTATATACATTCCGAATGTAAAGTGCAGCAGGAGGCAATAAAAATCCTGTGCCGCTGGTCCGTACAATAAGTTTTACTTAGTCAGGTTTTCATCGAGAAATGAAATCGTTTTGACTATATCGATGGGGTAATCCGCTATTCCAGACGTCCCCACGAAACGAAAATGGGCTCCCCAAAAGCTAAATTTCATAGACTTTCGTTTACCGAGAATTCTTCTTATATCTTGGCGGGGTGTTAACGAGCAAAACGATGTTCTGATTTGTAAGCATCCCAGAAACGGCTTTGGACAAAGATGCGGAGGAATCGAACACACGAAATACGGGGCTTACTTTTCTGAAACGTCGCACTTACCTTCTGCTCATCTCCAAAAGTGTGAGTATTTTAATTGTGCAAACTGACCAATAAGCTCAGCCTAGATACAGCGAATGGCTGCATAAATTATCGTTACGGCAACTGTCTTCAGACTGGACTGCGTCCATGGACGCCGGAATTTTTGGGGGCTTGGGATGTAAAGGAATTGTCGGTAAGCTTGGACACACGTCACAGCCGTACGACCACCCCAGGTTTGTCGATGTGGTTTGACGACAGTAAATTGACGCCGATACATCCCCCAACCGCCCGGCTGCAATTCGCGAAGAAACCCTCAACCGACATTTCCAAGTTGACACCAATGACGATTTCGATGCCCAGCCTTACCTCTAAGAGACCATCAAAGCAAAATCAATAGGGTGGCTTACCTTGTTTTGGATTAAGCACGCCGGATGCTGGGCATTTTAACGGGCCAGGGGTGGGGGCTGCCGGAGAAAGTAGATTCGACTGATCGATAAAGGGAACGGTAATTTCACAAGAATAGGGCTTTGAACAGAGCTCAGATTTGGCAACTGTGGATGTCGCCAAGGCGTCCACAGAAAGTCCGTAAGCAGCAGCACCAGTTGCATACTCGCGGGACGGTGTCATGTTCTCCTTACCTGAGTCCTCTGTAATAAGAACAGAAATAAAGATAGACAAAAGCTAACGATTGGCTGTTGGGAGAATTCCATTGTCGTTTTGCTCAGACGTGTCAGACTGGAATCTCACCGCAGCAGACACAGCTTCGAGCAGTTTGTGAGGGATTCATCGGCGAGCTCTATAAGCCTGTCCAAGCCAGTGGCAGTCGTCGTAAATAACTTATTTTGCACCAAATTATTGTGTCCAGATAGTTCTGGTTCAGTTTCCATCTGTTATTAGGCAGATAGAGGTGACCAGGTAGTTTGACTAAAATATGAACAGCGGCACCTCCAGTTTACCGGTGCACGTCCACTACACTTAACGATATACCTGAGCATTTTTTGCCCTCAGGGTGGGGATTTGCGCCTGTGCCTGTGACCGCTTAGGCCTGAGAAAACGCTTTCTGTGGCATCTATAAGAACGAGCGCGCACTTCAGAGCACTTGCTGTACTTTCACATCATATAACCGAACTGTGCCGAAAAACGA